CCCCTTCTGAGCCCCGCCTTCATGGCGGGGCCATGTGTTTCAAGGGTAGTGTCTACCCGTATGTTGTTTGAAAATGCCTTGTTTGCCTCACATACATTAAGCCCCACGCCACCGGAAAATGGTTATTGGAAGAGATCTGTCGCCGGTACGATATACTGGACGAGTTGGAGTATTTTGGCCTGCGCTATGTCTCATGCGAAATGCTGTCATCGCCAACAAAGGTATGTTTTAGAAAAACAAACTCATAGGCCAATTAGTAAACCATATTTAATTTGTATCGATCTAAGTATATCAGTTCTGTCTTATCAGCTTGCAGTGGTTTCATAATTGAAGTTTAAATTGAGTTATAATCTTTTTGTTAAGATCACGTGCCATAATTTTATAACTATTCTTGAATATCGTAAAACCGAGCACATAATACTTGTTGCTGGGATTTGTGCCCGACGTAAAACTTGACTTCCACAAAGACCTCCGACCGGTCCATTTTATTGCCTTGAAGGCAACTGTGTTTATATTCGTTTTGCAAACAGAAGCAGAGAGCTGCCATGCCAGTTATGATTTTGTGTTGCCAAGTTCAATTTCATTCTTTTTTTAAATTCAGAACTGGATGGACTTAACTCGCAGTGTTCAAAGTCAACTCAAAAGTAAGCTCAAGTTCGCAATAATTACCTTCTCGTTTTTATCTGTGGAACGTAAATTTTGTAACTAGCATGAATCGTTTGGATGCATGCTGAAAGTACATTATGTTGCTTTTTTACGGCTGATTTAGCCAGCTTCGAAACTCGCGAGAAGTCTGGAGAAGGTCCAATACAGATCGGTACCAAACAACCATCAAGGCTACCTCGAATAGCATTACAAATAGCTACGAGAGATTTAGACGGCAACGGTCGCAAAAGGATCTATTTAATGCAGATTTAAGGGCTAACATTAGAAAATTCAGCTGCTTTTCGGATGTTTTTTTAAAGTAAGAATGGTAGTTGGACCCATAAAAACATGCAAGGCAAGGTTTTACTACGAAGCTATCATCGCTGAAGACTGTGGGTCATTTTAATGCAAAAGCTAACGCGCCACAGTAAATGCTCCATGCTCTGTGCAATGTCCTTGAGTCTTGACCGTTATTTTTTTCGAAACATGTTTCTTTTCATTACGTGCACGTAATGATGCAGGTTGAGCCGTATGCAATGTACACAGAAACTGACAGATTCTTTAAAGGCTTCAGGCATTCTTCGATGACGAGAAAATAGTCTGCTCAGAGTGCGAGACCAGTTGAAGTTCAGTCTACTTTATACCGTCAGACCTGAAAATGAGGTTTTCAGACTTTATATTTCTCCTTCAGACATTGTGGAGCTTGAACGCAATCCTCTTTTCTTTTCAGATACAAATCCGCTTCAAGTCTCTTTCCGCATAAAACATTATCCCGCGAATCCATTCGAAGAGTTCAAACTCGAGAAGTCGAAGTAAGTCAGTTTTCTTGCATTTGCGTAATAACCATGCATCTTAACTCCGCTTGTCTAAGTTATGATCTAAAACGAGTTCGTCGTTTTAGTAAGTATTCATCCAGTCCTAAGTTTAGAGCTCCTTCAAGAAATCTATATTTGTTCAGATGAAGCTAGCTTGAAACAGAGTTCTTCAAGGTTTTGGGCATACTAACAGGAGGAAGGATTAAATAGTAAACCTAACTAGAAAGCCAATTCCTAGACATGCAGATCATCTTACCCATCGCATTATGTATTTTCAAAGAACGAGTGGTAACTTGGGTCTAGTAGTACCCATTGCCGCCTTCCAAGATTTGTCTTGTAATCGCGAAATATTTTGCTGCAATAGCCTATGCTCAACGCTCACGAAAGGCAGCTTAACTTCGCTTTGTGCGAGGCGTGCACGTTTTCATGAGTAACACGGCTGATTTCCAAGTAGAGAGTATCCTAATGATGTTTTATTCTCAAAAAAACCTGCTGGCTTTGTTCCACAAAAGTCCCGGTAAGTTCTCTCGAATTCTGAACGTGTAGAGAATTTCTCAACCGCGAGCAATGTCCGATTTTAGGCTAGTTAGGGTCTGTTGGCAGTAATAACGATTGAGGTACCACATGAACAC